TTTACCCCTCTCTCCTTTGGTGCGTGTCACTGATACAAAGCCCCATGGAGACAGGGGGTGATAGGAAAGAGAGAAGCAGTGTTGGGGTTGAAGGGATGCAGCTCAGGGGATCGCACTGAATGCAGTGATAAGGAGTGGAGTGCATTAGGGTAGAGTCTAATCTATTACTTAGCAAATGTAATTTCTCTCATTTTGCTGTTTTGTTTCTGCTTCTTTGTCTTTTTTTTTTTCCTGTGTGAGTGATTAATCTTTAAGTGATTTATCTTTAAGTGCTCCTATAAGTAGATATTAAGTAGCAGTAAAAATCTGAAGGCGTCTATGACGCCGTGCCTGATGAGCCACCCCTATCCTGTAGTAAAGACGTCTACCTTGTCATGTTCATTGAAGGCTCATATCCTAATCCAAGATGTGGTTTACTGATCTTCTTTTTCTCCCTGGATTTACAGCTCCGGACTGTGAGATCACAGGGCAGCCTGGTATTTCTTATCATTTCCAAATGTGCAGAGTGACTCCCTCCTCCTTTTGCAACTCACATATGTGTAATTCATTTATCTTCACAGATTTATCCTCCCATTCTGATCTCCAGCCCTTGTTAAAACAACTGTCCTCCTCCCCCTTCTCTACTGCTTATGCGTAGTTTCAGCATGCTTTTGTCTATTTCCGTATAAAAACACTCACAAAACAGCACCAGAAATTATGAAACTGCTTAAGCCTCCAAACAAAAAAATCTGAAACTATTCAAATTCACAAATAGCACCTATTTAAACAATTTTTGCAACTCTTGCTTCCTCTGGTAGCAATTCCTCTGGAATTAAAAGGAATTTAATTCCAAAAGGATAAATATGACAGCAGATATTTACAGAAGAACTGGATTTTTTTACTTTTTATGAGAAGAAAATTCTCTCCACAGCCTTCCAAATGGGATCTAAACGACCGGTCTTACAAAAGATTAAAACCCAATCTATCAGTTCAGCACAGAAAAAATATAACCCCAAGCATTCTTGTAGTAACAAAACATTACTGACAAACACAGCAGAGACTGCAGTGCCATTTTTCTACCCCATATTTCTGCTCTTTCTCATTAAAATCTTTGTGCAGCACAAAGAGATACAGTGTTTTATGAAACAGGTGAATAAATTCTGTATAATACTTGGATTAAATGCATGAACTAAGAAAATACATATGCTTTGCTTATAGAAAAGGAACTTAACCCTTAAGAAGCATCAAAGAAATTTGGAAATGTGGGATGATGGGCAAATTTTCCCACCCAGAGCTTGGATGTTGCAACCCTGTCCCTGTACTCTCCCTTTGAAATGGGAGAAAATATTTGAGGGCATGGCAGGAGAGAAACAGCAATGTGGATGTTTGCTTATTTTTGTGGACATGATGACAGCCTTGGCAAGTGATAGGAGCTTTACCCTGGGTCCTGCTGAGAAATACTAGTAATGCAGGACTACAGTATTGGGATGCTACATGAACTCAGGTATCCTCTTCTGTAGAAACAATGCAACTAGGGACAAGTCTGTTTTGCTGGTTAGGTAAGATAGTCACTACATTTTCCAAATCAATGGGCTACAAAAAGCAGTTTGCATCTTTCCATAGATGCAGTAGGCTGCTGGGCTTCTCCCAGCTTCCTAAGAGAAAACCAACTGGCAGGGTGGATGCCACAAGTCAAGGGAAACGACCTTGAATGGGGAGAGCAAAGCTTTGGTCCTTGCCTAACAAAGAAAAGTGAGGCAGTTGGCACAAGTTGTGCTGATTGTGTAATCTAGGCTTGTGGGTTTGAAGAGAAGTGTAGTACCCCTCCTCGGTGTTCCAGGTCCTCAGTCTAGGTGTTTAGGGGCCCAGGTCTTTGGGCAGTGTAGTGCATGCTCACCACCTACCAAAAATACAGCCACAGAGAGTTATGACTCCAGCAATACTTCCCTTATGCATTGAGATTGATGGGACCAACCTGGGACAGCTGCTGCTTCAGAGTAAAGGCACTGCGCTCCTAGGACAGGCTCTCCTGTGCTCCCTGTTTTGCTGCAGTTTCATTTGCAGTTGATGCTTTCCAATATATCCAGCCCAAGTTTACAATGTAGGTGGGGAAAGACTTATTAAAGGAATGATGCACAAATAAAGGAGAACTAAATTAAGATGTGGGGTTTTTGTTCTAAAATAGCAATTTATCAGCATCTAACATAATAAAGTATTTTTATTTACTTCTCTCAGATATGTATCTCTATGCCTTTGAATATTTGGACTGGTTCTGAACTTCCTCTGATCAATACACTACAGCTTCTACAGAGACAAGCAACTGGCATGAACATTCTTTAAAAAGATAAACTTTACTTTTCAAGCCTTTCATGAACTCAATTAATTTTAATTCTGATTGAACAGTATTCCAATCTTTAGTTTTCAAAACTGGACTAGCTATGATGTTTCCATGCGTAACTCAGTTTGCTGCTTCTTTTCCTTCTCTGGGAGCTGAAGTATAGACTGGTAAGGATAATGAGAAAATACAGAAGGAGAGTTTTATTTAGGCAGTTTTTCTATCAGGAGGGAAATAAATGGGGAAAATACCCAGTAAAAATATGAAAATTTAGAATGAAATTGTGAGCATGATGATAAAAGGAAGTTGTTCAAGAGAAATTAAAATACACTGTTATCTCTGGTGATTTTGACCACTTGCAAAGTCTTTAGGCACCTATAAAGTGTTGGCTTGTCATTAACCTGATATGCTTTTGACAGTCAGAGGAGTGTCTTCATTGTAAAGGCATTTGACTGTCTTACACTGAGGCCAATCCTGTCTGTACCCATGACATCATTCCAAATGTTTTAGTGGTTACCAACTGTTCTGCCAGACAGTAAAAGAAGCTGATCAAAGCTTAGGTCAAGAGATATGTTGATGATATATGTTTTTGAAGTGCTTCCTCCTAACCAAGCCCTGCATTCTCCTCCAGAAACAACACAGGCGTATGCTGCACAGGTCTGCAAAGGGAAATGGCTTCAGATTGTATTTCATTTCTTTTCCCAGGGAACCAGCTTGCTCTGAATGTAAATTTGTCCCAAGCACTAGAAGAACAAAGTGCTAAATATTGCATCATGATACAGAGTTTTTGCTACACAGAGGGAGCAGAGGGCCTGGGCATTCTGTGCATTCCTTGTTTGCAGTCAGGTCAGCTTAAAAAGATAAAGTGCAATCTGCTGCTTGCCATCCGTCATGAGAAATGAAGCCTGATAATTTTAGAGTAATGTTTAGCTTGTCATTCTTGGGCCATTACACTGAATTAGTAGTGCTAGAAGAAGGGATTTATTTCCTTCTCTCTCTCTTACTGTAACAAGTCTCAGATTAATAATGCTGCAGGCTTCAAAGTCTGTTTTGTTCATAGCTGCTGGCTGGGGAACAGGCAAAAACAAAGACCAGATTTGCAATGAACTGGGCACTGAATCCCTTCAAAACGTGTCTTTTGGCACCATGACGGAGAGCTATTAACAACATTCCTGGATGACTGCAGGAAAATAACAAGTTTTTATAAAGGGCTATAACATCTTGGATTAGCTACCTGACAAATAGGTGTTCTCAGTTTATTTAGGGCCCAGTTCTTCTTTCTGCTAAGGCCTTTTTCCAGTGCTGCTTTATAGGAGTGTAAAAAGGAATCGGGCCTTAGGGATGCAGCCACCAGAGCAGTCTCGGCATGCAGGACAGCGTGGATCAACCATGCCCAGAAATGAATGGGAACCAGCAGCTGCAATATTACATTGCATCTGCAACTATAGTACATTAAAAAAAATAACCCAAAAGTGAAAAACTACTAGCTAATGTTGGGGACTCCAGCAACAAGTCTGATTTAGAATCGTAGAATAGTCAGAGATGGAAAGGTTCTTAAGATCATCTAGTTCTAACCCCCCTGCCATGGGCAGGGACACCTCACACTAGACCATGTCACCCAAGACTCCTTCCAGCCTCATCTTGAGCACTGCCAGGGATGGAGCATTTACCACTTCTTTGGGCAGCAGCTTCCAGTGCCTCACTACCCTCACAGTAAAGAACTTCTTCCTTGTGTGTGACCTGAACTTCCCCTTTTTAAGTTTGAACCCATTACCCCTTTTGTCAAAGTAACAAATCTCTCTTAGGTGTGTATATCCAAAGTATATGAGTATATGCTGTGTTAAGCTCACCACCTCACCACTTGCTTATGACTGATCTTATTCAAAGGATCACTGTCTGCTTTTCCCAGGTAGCTCAGGCAGAATTTTGACAATTACCCTAGAGGTTTCATTTTCAAACTTGCATGAGTTCTTGTAGTTTTTGAGGCATCCTTCCTTGTGCCTAAATATAGGGAAGTGTGTTGCAATGTCAAAACCCTTCTGCTGAATTTTTTTCTGTGACTCATCCAGGGTGCTGTTTAGGTTACTACATTCATTGCAAGTGCCTGCTACATAGAGAAATGGGAGTGAGAACAGCTTAGACCAATGCAGAGTTTTAAGCTGTGGAGAACATCAGCTAGCGTACTGCTGGTGTGTTAGGTGTCGATTGTGGGAGGCATCATTCCCTACTAATACGGTAGTGAACGCTTGTGGTGGGCATGTTGACAGTAGTTGTCTGACTATACAGATACTGAGAGCAAGCAAGAGAAATGTGGAGGGAATGGGTTGTCTCAGAAATTAAAGCTTTATTTTTGCATTTTGATGCACCCGGGGAGTTCAAAGCCCCCAGGGAGAAGCAAGGAAGAAGATGGAGCAATATCACCTCCCTTTTTCTCTTATTCCTGAAGGGCTCTATCCACGTAAAGTCACCACCAGCAACCTTCTCATTAGAGGAAGAACTGTATTTTTGCATGCTGTCTGCTTGCATGAAGAGGAGCAACTTATACCAAAGAGCAAGCACATGCACATGTGGTCCAAGGACCCAGGTTTCTTTAGAAGAAGACATAGAGCAGACCAGGGTAGTCAGGAGAATTAGGACACAGTTCAGAGGGAAAGTTTTGGCATCTCTTATAGCTGAGTGACAACACAGCAAGTGGGAAGAGGACAGGAAGGTCACGCAGTGGTCAATCTTCTAAAGATGGACATGCCAGAAGCACAGACCCAGGCAGAACACACTGGCTGCACCCTTAAAAGGTCTCTGCTGCAAGAATTCTTAGTGGGGGGTAAGAAATTTCTTGCCTCGTCTTACTGGAAGAGGTGGGAAGCAAGGACATTTGTGGGAGTAAAATGCACTGCCTTGATCTGATCATTCCCTAACGTCACTCGCGGGTCCTGTCTAATCCTTCTCTCTGGCAATGTTGCTGTCCATCTGTGTTTATCTCTACTCTGAGTGTCCCACCGGCTTTTAAATTTGTGGATGTGCTCCAGATTTGGTGATGAATTTATACTTTATGATATTTATATCTCCACCCTTCCTTGACTGTTGCACAAGATTTCATGCTGGAATTTCTAACCACAGGTTTTTAAAGGGATCTCGTTCATTTAGGGGAAAAAAAAATGAACATTTTCTTCCTACAAAAAATGTAGAAAAGGATAAAGCTAAGGAGGACGCAGTTAACTTTTAATTGTGTCCTAGGGAGTTTGAACCTCATCAAGTTGTGAGATCTGTGAAGTATGGTAGGATAAAATAATATCCCCTAGAAAATAAGCTGTTGCAATTGGCAAAAGAAGTAGGGAACAAAACCCAGAGGGACCTGATCCTGAATGGGGGAAAGCAAAGCTTTGGCAAACAAAAATGCTGCTGATTGCATAGTCGGTAGCAGAAGAGAAGAGAACAGGAATGGAGACTCTGTTTTCCAGATGAGGTATGTCACATGTGCAAGGACAGTCTCTCCTCTGACCCCAGCTGCCCTGGCAGGGGGCAAGCAGTCCTAAACAATTTGTGCTGCTGCCACATGTCCCTTGGCAGCTTCCCCAGAGATACAGGGTTTGTGGGGCTGCCCAAAAAGACCGTATCTCCCTTCTCTGCAGCTCCCACTGCACCCTCTGTGCTCCAAGTCCTTTAGTAGCATCCTGCATCCCTGCAGTACCAGCAGTACATCCTTCCCCTCACCATCCACCCTGGGTCTGCCTTCCCCTCTCTCCTGTCTAGGTAGTCAGGAGAATGAGATTCTTCCTGCAGGACCAGAGGGATTGTGGTGGGATATTGAAATTAAAATTTTGCCCTGGCTTTCTTACATAGCATAGGATCAACAGGGACTTCTTAAACACCATGCCAAGAAGTCCAGCTATACTGGGGATAGGATGAGGAAAAGTTGACTATGTCTGTACCAGGAGGTAGTGTGGCCCAGGAGCAGCAGTGCTTGGTGCCAAGGACCTGATGGGTCTTCACTGCAGATGAGCTAGTTTGGCCTTGTGATGGCTGACAGCTGAAATGCAGGAAGTCAGTCCTCTGGAAGAGCATGTGTAGTTCAAAAGTAGACTAAATATAATGAATGATGTTCTTTATATGCTTGCAAAAATGCAATTACTGAGTTGGGCATTTAGTATAATGATTTTACTAGACCAGAAATACATACTTACTGAAGCTGTCTGTAATATATCCTCGAAACTCTCCAAAACTTTATTCTTGGGTTTGCTTTTGTATAATCATTTCTTGCACTGAAGATAGATTTAAGAGATCAAACTGTGACTAACAGTTATAAACTTCCGACTGAATATTTTTGTTCTTAGCCTGTCACAGACCTCTATTTTTAGTCAGCTGGAATGGTGGCAGGCTTTATTAGCATCAATCATTTCTGGTGTTGGTGATGCATTTTCAGAATCTTATACAAGAGAAAGAATTGCCAAATATTTTACTTATTTTATCAAAAACATCTAGTGAGGCTGACCTTTTATTTTAAACTTTTATTATGTGTGAAATTACCAGAGCCAAGAAGACCACCAGAAACCGTGACGTAGAATATTAGAGAGATCAGACTGTTAAACATGAACAATTAAGTGTTGGGGATTTTTAACAGAGTTGAGCAAGTTGCACAACAGTTGCGATCCCTAAAGGGACTGAGCACACTAATCTAGTAATGAAATTAATAAAGTTTAAAGTTATCCATCAGTATTTTTGAGGATCAGACCTTGTATCTCTCTGCTTTAGTTTCTTTGACATTAATTGCACTTGCATTAAACCTTGGGGTTTCATGCACTTGACTTCATCCTAGGAGCGCTACAGGAATTAATCTGGTACTAAAAACACCTGAATGCTTTTCTGGGAACAGTGTGTGACCAGGAGCAAAACAAGCAGCTGCACGTGGCATCAGCTTTCCTATATACAAGAGTGGCTGGTGATTACTCGCTTTTGTGTAGTACATGGTGCTTTACAGCTGGTAAGCACTGCAAGAAATACATTTTTGTTGTATCTATAAAGGCAGAAAGACAAAAATGGCTGCATAAGTGAACCAGAACATCCAGAATTAACAAGAGTTTAGGTCTCCATCTTTAAACATATGATTTAGTTGGATCTAATTCCTGTATCCAGCTGGATCAGAATGTATTCCCTCTATAAGGCTCCATGTGGATTTAAACTTTGGTATAATCATACCATTTTTGAACATATGAGGGTCTGACCCAGTGAATAAAGAAGTTGGTTGAAAACTCCCATTGAATCATAAGAAATCTTGAACAGATGGTAAGATTTGCAGTGGGAAAAGAATGACTAATTGACATACATGTCAGGTAATCTGCTACTTACTAGAAAAATAACATAATTAAAGGAGGAAAAGGGAGAGCACGAGTGTGAACATGTGGACATGAGTCTGCACATGATATCAGAGTGTTTGCAGCTTGCCTGTCATTTTTCATATGATTTCTTAAGCAGGATAATTATACTTAGTGAACTAGGTACAATGAAAAGATTATGCAAAACACAACAAGCAAATATTTTAGCTTAAGTTAAAAACTCCTTTTGCTTGATCTCATTTTGCTCTCAGAGTGGAAAGGTGCTTGAGGGCACAGCTGTCAATAGTAAAATCATTTCTGATAAAATGGACTCTTTTCCTCTGACCACTGTGTATTTCAAGGCCACTAAAAATCCTTCCCACTCACTTTTGGCTATAAGAATTTAAGAGCTATTTAATTTTTTCCCCTTATGGGTATTTTATTCTGCTGGAACCTCAATAATTTGCTTGTTTTATCTGCAAAGACACAATGTGATTGTCCTGTACACTTTTTTATGGCCTGTTGCAGGTGCAAAACATTTCCACAGTAACTTGGGAGAATATCTTTATTACAAAGCAAGATTAAGTTATTCAGGGAACTCCTGTAAAAATATTAGTGGCTAAGTCAAAATCACTTGAAAAAATACACGAATATGAGTAGGAGCCTATTCTGCAACCACAACTTCAAGAATAAATTTGACATAACTGATGCCATGTGGCAATACTTACTAAGGCAGAAGGTACTTGAGACATCCTACTATTTCAGGGAACGACATCCTTGAAGAGAAACCCAGCTGCCCTTTCCAAAGAGCCCCCTCCTCACTCCACTGAGTTGATGGGTTAATTGTGGTCAAGCATCTTGCACTGACCCCCCACGCTGTTGTTTCCATTTAAATGTACAGCCAGTTCTTTGTATCAACTGCATTTCTGCAAAGTGCTGTGCTGGGAATGGCAGAAATGAAAAGCCAGCAAAACATGAGAAGGAGGTAGGCTGTTGAAAAGTGGAGGTTAATGTTAAAGTAACTTTTTATGACTGCCATTCCTTCATGCTTTAAGAGAAATATGAAGAAGTAGCAGTAAAATGGGAAGAATCAACAGCAACACATAGGTGCATGCCAGCGATATGGGTAATTGTCATCTATACATCAGATGCTTAAAATACCAAAAGAGACAACACAGAAAACAATGCAGAGGGATCACTGCTGATCAGGACTGTGGCTTCTTCACAGTTCACTGACACTGAAAGACGCAGCACAAACACTGAGGAAAACGTTCTCTGCTAGAATCCCAGTTTCTGTTTTACAGCCCTGGGTTTCTGGGATGCAAAACAGGCACAAAAATCCTACTAGCAATTCAAATCATGTATCAGAAGTCATCACAGCATCAATACCAAAAATAATATGAGCTGGTCTGCTTGGAATTTAGGTGAAACAGTTTTAATTCCAAAAGCACTGATTTTTAACAGTTGTGTCATAGCTCTTTCATCAGGCAGGTGCATCCCACAAAGCAGGACACACAACCCTGGGCAACCTCTGACATGTCTCCAAGGCATGATATGGGGACACAAAGGTACTGGCTCATGTCCCAGCTGCAATATAGATGGGTTTATGTGGGGCTGCACCCTGTTCTGAAGCAAGGCCAGTTAGTAATTATATAGCATTCAGCTGTGGAAATAGGTAGCTCGGGGCTCTTTGCCTCAGTACTCCCCTGCTGGGTGTAGACATGACTTAAGTCACAGCACAGTGCTGAAATGGTGCTGACTCCCAGGTGGCTTTCTTAAATTTATCCTCAAAATCATGATGGGTGTGTGGTGGGGTGTTTCTCCTTCAGTTTATTTAGTTTTCCATTGAAATACATTGCTTGAGGTCCTTTAGCTCATCACATACCGTCCTTGTCCAACACATGGCTCATGAGGCTTCCCGTCTAGGAAGAAGAAGGAGCTTTTCTGATTTAAAGGTGTCCTGATGTGTACACACATAGGTAGGTTAGCCATTACAGTAGCAACTCCCAGAAGGAGCAAGGCCACACAGACAGGAGAGGAGGAACAAGGCATCTTGTTCCCAGCTCCCTCTTTTCAGTGTTAGAGAAGGAACCAGCTCATTCTGCTGCAAACCACCCTCACATAAAACATGACCCAGTCTCAACTTTTGCTCTGGGCCTCCGCACTCATTCCATCCCTCTATTTGTTTCCCCATTTTTGTTTTCATTATCTCCAATTTCCCCTTTCCAGCTGCACGACCAACCCAAGAAGGTCTGGCAGCTGGCTGGGAGCAGCAGTGCTCATCCCCAGTGCTGTGATAAGCTGTTCTGCGGGGCTGGGGAGGGTCCCGTCCCAGGCCTCCAAAAGGCTGGGCTGTGGGCTTGGTTGTTGATATCTGTTCCTTTTCCAAAGTGATAGCTGTGGGAGCGGCCTTTGGCTGTCAAGTCCCTTGTTACCACTTGCAGTTTTGCATTGTACTCCCACACATATAAGCTGACGTATCTGGTTATTTTAAGTGCACGCATACATTTAG